CTCTACCACTTGAGCCACAGCGCCACTTCTGGCTTTTTTCTTTTTGCTTATGTGGTGCTGAGGAATCGAACCCAGGGCCTCAGGCATGCAAGACAATCGCTCTACCACTGAGTCACCTTTCCAGCCCAAGACTCTTATTTTTAATTAATCACAAATTAATTAATCACAAAAAAGGTGAAAGTGGAGCTATGGCTCAAGTGTTACAGTGCTAACCTTGAACAAAAAAAGCACAGGACAGTGGTTAGGCCCTGAGTTCAAGTCCTAGGATGGCACAAAAACAAAACATAGGTCCTACAAAGTAAAATCTATATGAACACTTCATTCCTCCAGTGTCCTCATTCTCATTTTATTTGGAAATAAATACAGACTATATTCTCTTAGTTTAGCTGTAATAAGACCAAAAAAATATAGCTTCATTAGAAGTCTCCTAAACTAAGGAGTCATAAGAACACATGCTAAACTCACTATTATGCAAAAACTTATGCCATTTTTTACAGCAAAGTTCAGATGATACTAAATTAGTAGCTTTTACAGGACATATTTAAAAATCATTTACAGGGATTGGGAAGGTGGCTCAGTGGTAGAATGTTTGCCCTGCATGCATGAGGCCCTGGGTTCAATTCCTCAGCACCACATAAGCAGAAAAAGCCAGAATTGGTGCTGTGGCTCCAGTGGTAGAGCGCTAGCCTTCAACTAAAGAGCTGAGGGACAGCGCCTAGGCCCTGAGTTCAGGCCTCATGACCAGCAAAAAATATATAAATAAATAAATAAATAAATAAAATGTGAAACAGGCAAAAAAGAGCACAAAAAAAGAGAGAAATGGTAGAAACAAAATTCCATTCAATAGAAATGTAACAAAACCCTCTCTGTCCCACCTCTATATTTCTCAGTGCTGTTTTGCATCTACTGATGCTATACTTCTTAATCTATGTGTAAAAGTTCTTATTTCTCTAGATCCTTTTATACAAGGTACCTTTCAAATTGTTTTGGGTTTTTTTTTGAAGATAAAAGAGGCTCACACCTGTAGTCCTAAGCTACTCAGGAGGCTGAGATCTGAGGATTATGGTTCAAAACCAACTGGGGCAGAAAACTCTCCAGGAGACTCTCATCTCCAATTAATCCTTCAAAAACCGGAAGTGACTGATATGTCCAATTAACCCCTCAAAAACCGGAAGTGGCACTGTGCTCAAAGTGGTAGAGTACTAGCCTTGAGTCAAAGAGCTGTAAGACAGAGTACACACCCTGAGTTCAAGTCCCAGGACCACCACCAACAAAAAGATAGGTAAGAGAGGGAACAATAGATCATTAGACAGCAAGAATGTGTGTGAAAGAGATGTGAAATTCAGGGATTTGTGATCCCAGAGTAACAAGCTCTCCCTTAACATTTTGAAAATTATAAATTAGTGAATGTTTAGTGATGAAGAGAAATTTGATTTAAAATGTATAAGCAAACTGTTATGTAACACCTACTTTATTTATGTCCCTCAATGAGAACCAGAGTTTTCCTAAATCCCAAATTTCCAGAAATACGATGGTTGCTTTCTCTAGGGAACGGAGAATGAAAAAAAAAAAAAAACTGCTGTCATCAGTGTTAGAAGCCACTTCCTCACACAAGCAGTGATCCAGGGTGATAATGACATCTCCAGGTTTCTCAGAAACTACCTACAATGCTCCCCAGGCACGGTTTGGGTGGGGTGGGGGGTGGGGTGAAGAGGAAGACTGGAAGCAATGGCATTTTGTAAACTTCATCCCATCAGTGATGTCAGTGGTCTTCGCTGTGTGTCCTGAGGGCAGGTAAGGGAGATGGCAGGTGGCCCGGCCTCCTGGGGGCACACTGGCACACTACCCTACGTAAAGGGCATGTTCACCCTCTCATCTCTGATTGGAACGACGGGAGCGCAAGTCCCTCTAGATTCCGGCAAGAGCAGACGTTTTGACAGAAAGAGCAGGCCAAGCGCCAGCGGCTACTCAGGAGGGTGAGACCTGAGGGATCACGGTTCGAAACCAGCCTAGGCAGAAAAGTCTGAGAGACTCTTATTTCCAATTTATCACAGAAGAAGCCGTAAGCGGCGCTGTGGCCCAAATGATAGAGCGCCAGCTTTGAGCAAAGTGAGCGAGTGGACGGCGCCCGAGTTCGAGCCCCAGGACCGGCGGGGGAAAAAGAAAAGGAAAAGAAAGAGCAAAGATGGACAACCCCAAACTTCAACCCTTCCGGCGGTTTCGCCAACGCAGTGGCACCGGTTCGTGCTGCGGGGATGCCGGGGAGGCGGGGGAGGGGGGCCCGCCCGACGCGCAGCTCCGCGTACCGGGGTGCGCGGCGAGGGCGCGCGGGGACCGCAGCGAGGTGACCTCCGGCGACGGTGTCAACCCCCGACAGAGAGGTGAACCCCGCCCCGCGGCCCAGACTCACCTGCTGAGCCGATTTCCATTCATGGAGCTGAGGGACGCGCTCCGAGGGAGAGGTGCGCCCGCTACGGGAGCGAGGAGGCGCGGAGGCTCGGGGGCGCCAGGCGGGGGCGATGGGGGCGTCGCGGGGTCGCGGCGCTCCGCAAGCTCCGGCCGGGAGAGTCGCTGCCCGTAGACAGCTCGGCCGAGCGAGAGGCGCGGAGAGGGGGGAGCCGCGGCGGGGGGAGCCGCGTCCAGGACTTGCGTCGCCCGCGGCCACCGACGCTCGCAAGAGCTCCCCCCC